CTGCTGATTTGTAGGTTTGATGATCTTGGAATTTTTATCTGTTTTAGCTTTCCCTGTTTCAGTTGTTTTATTTCTGGGGTCGTGTGGGAGTCCTGTGCTTTTGTTGATGGTCTGTCCTTTTTTTATAACCCTACCTTTTCCTCTGCATATTTGCTAAGATCTCATGGTTGACTATCGGGTTCTAGGTGTCTGTCTATGTGTGTCATTTATTCCTAGATTTCTGGAGTGAATCTCGCTTACCAATCTCTTTGATATTGATCTTATGTCAAAGGTGTCCCTTCTCTATCTGTCGTGGTTGTGAATTGGTTTGTGTTATCCCAATCTTGGAACTTTATGAAAGAGTTATTTGTTTTTGCTATCTTTTGGCCTAGCAACCATTTTTCTTCRAATATTTTTTGGCTCGCCTCTCTTCTTTTGGGATCTGTTAACCTTTCTTGCTTCTTTAGTTCTCTTTTCCATTGAGCCCTGATTTCAGTTTCTACGATATCTTTTGTCTCCTGCCAGGCCACTTCTCTTGTTGTTATCTGGTTGTTGAGTGCTTGCATCTAGATTTCCAAATCGTCCATAGTGCCGCCCTTCGCATCAGATCTTCTATGGCCATTTCTTCCTCTTTCATCTTTCCTTCTTGGTCTCTAGCTGAAAGTAGGTAGTCAGTTTGCATTGGGAATGGATTCGGGGAAATATTGGACCAAGCTGATTTGACTGCTTCCCATATTTTGCTCGCGTGAGAACATTCAATCAAGCAATGAATCAGTGATTCTATTTTGCTATCTTCGCACGTTCTGCAGAGGGCGGACTGTTCCRTTCGCTGGTCCTCCTTCCTTCGTCTATCAASCCACTCATTGACTGGGACAGCCCARTAAAGTATCAGCCATTGTAGGCTCCTGAATCTAGTGGGTTTTACACTGCTGTAGTAATCCCATGGGATTCCAGAGGGCCAGCCATGTTCCTCCCCTAGCTGTTTGATCCATCTTTCTGATATGACCGAGCAGGGGTMTGTTGTCTTGTTCCTTATCCTGTACCCTGTTTTCACTGTGTAGTCTTGCAGGTTAACTATCTTTTTTGCCCTCCCTCTACCTGATCTGACGTGCCATCCCCATTCCACTGGGTCTATTTCTAGGTCCCTAATGYCCTTGTCTGGTCTGAATAGTATCGTATTCTTGGGGGTTGTTTCTCTAGCYGATGGTGCTCCTTTTTCCTTTTGCGTCCATGTTCTTATTTTTCTCATGTTATTTAGGTTGAATTCCAATGTTGTTATGTTTTCCTCTGCTACCCTTGTTAATGTTTTGTGTTTGTCCAATAGTTCGTGTACTGCGAATTCTGCTATATCCCTCTGATTGCTCACCCTTTTTACGAATTYGAGAGCTACTGGTGGCATCACCTGTCCTTTATCCGTGGCCCAATCCCCTAACTTCCATTTGATTTCTCCTTTTAGYTGTGTTATCCARTTTAGCGGTATAYTGWCTGTCATCTCCTCCAGGTTTTTCTCTAAGTTATGGCTTCCTTTGAGTTGTTGYCTTAATTCAGAGGCTTTTATCCATCTCTTCTCCTCTTCTTTCCAGATGTGCTCTATTTTCCAGACTCCTTTTTCCACCCACTTTCTCCATCTTCTGCCCTTGCTTGTTAAAGACMAAGGATTGCCATTTCCATCTAGAATCAGTGCATTTCCGAATAGCGGTTGCCTTARCACTTCTTCCTTAATTCTTGGCTTTCTAACTCYTTCCRGGAAGGCTTCTCTCCAGTGAATGAYGAGTGTTTTCCAGTGTTTACTTGGGGGGTCCCTGCTGGTCTGCTGATTGTTGTTGTCTCTGTTGTTTTSTGTTCTTGGAGTCCATGTCTTAKTCATTAACCAGTGGTATCCTTCTATTTGTGGGTCGATTTTGAAAGGCACTAGATTTCGGATTTGGTACARCGCCATATCATGCCATGGTAGCTCTTTATGTAGGATGATTCTGATTATCCATTTAGTTTGTAGAGCTTTGTATTGGTTTATTGGGTTTATCAGCCCCAGYCCGCCTTTTTTGACCGGTCTGGTTATGTATTTCCAGGCTACTTTSGAGATAAATTTGTCCTTGGCCGCGTCTCCTGTCCATAGGTAAGCCCCTGTTTTTTTCTTAAGYGTTGAGAWGAAGYGTTTGGGAGGATCCCATATGGAAGCTGTGTACCAGGCCATAGAAAAGATGGATGTATTTAGTACTAGCGCTCTGCCCAATAGGGAGGTGTAGACCTTCTGCCACCCTGTTAGTTTATTTATGATTCTGGCTAGTATGTTCGGGTTGGTAACCACCACTTGTGTTTCGAATCTTTCGATTTCTTCAGGTCTGTGTTTCTCTTGCATTACTTTGTGCACCCTCAGCATCTGGACATCATACATCCATTTTTTTGCAGCCAGGGGTGTTATAATGAATGCATGGCCTTCTGTGATGCCTGTTCTTTCTTTGTATTAGCCAGCAACCGATATGCCTTTTGTCGGGAATCTTTGGTGGGCATGCTTAATGCCATCCACTGTGGCAACTGTTGTGCTTAGAATGCACAGCTAGGTTGACTTCCGTGTCATCACCCGCCTCATCCCTACCGTTCATGCCCTCTCTGTTGTCAAAGAGAGCCTAACTCCGATTCTTCTCTTATCCTGTCATATGCTCTCATCCTCCATCCACACTCCTAACTTTGCCTTTATCTTCCTCCCATCTTTCCTCTCTTTATATCCTCTCTCTCTCTCATTACGCCTCTTTTTCACAGTGTGCAAGTGGGCCATTATGACACACGGGGATGCGGGAAGCTGGCACTCAACTACTCTAACATGGCGAGCCTTGTAGGTAGTCGGCAGCTCGCACTCAACTGCGTTAGCATGGCAAGCCTTGTATGTGAGAGGCACGGTAGAGGGATAGCTAAAAGATGTGACATAGAAGAGCCACCGTGAAAAAAGCCAAAATAAGAAAAATGAACTCCACATGGAAAAGGCGAAAGAATGGTTTCAGCGTGCTTCATGCTGTCTGTTAGTTTCTTTGTTTGTTTTGCGGATCTTTAAAAAAGCCAAAGTTCTCGAAACTGGCGGTGAGGTCTCACCTGCAGAAGATAAGCCGCAAACCTCACCAAAAGCCGCCGTCACCGCGCCACTCACCCAAACCATGGACTCACCAATTTTGCATCCCACCCACATCCCACATTTGGTGATTGATGTGGAGAAGTGTTCAACATCTACGTTTGTGACCAAGTATGGATCAGAGGCAGTAAATCTGTAGATGATTCCCATCAGAAAGTTCGAAAAAGAAAATCTAGTGGTGTGGACAGGGGCAGGTGATGAGAACTCACCCAACACTACAGTCCAAAACAATCCAGATTGTCGGTCTGGACAGACGCCCGACTCGCCAACTTGGTGGCACTTTGGAACATGTCACCACAGTTCGGGTGTTACAGACGGCGGCTAAGTAGGTGAGTCATCACGGACAGCGGTTTCGGCGACTGCTTGGTGCGACGAGCGTAAACTCACCAGGTACAAGTTTGGTGAGTCGTGCAGCGAGGCCGTAAGGAAAGACAAGCAAGGACTGCACAGGAAAAGGCAACAGAATGCTTTCAGTGTGCTTCATCCTGTCCACCGTTTTGTTTCGTCGTTTTGTGAAGTGCACTCGTTAATATAGAACTGCCCGGTGAACCATAGTAGGCAGAAAGGGAGAAAAGGACAAGAAAGGGGCTGTGATGAACCTTTTCGTCGGAGTTTCACCAACTCATCAATAGGCAGAATCCTCAGCTGCAGTTGGGCACCAGCCCTGACTGATGATACTGTAGGTGATAATCTACCTTACACCGCCACTACTTTGCGAAGTGCGGCCATGCACGCTCTGAGACGCGCTGGGATGAACGGGCCTGCTGAAACATGGATGAATTCATTCGAAACGAACCGTCGCAGCATCGGCTGGCGCGTGCATGACGGTACTTCTCGGACGTACTGGTAGTCTAACCCCAGTGGCAGTTGGGAGGTTACAACCCACAGCCCCACAGCCCCACGACTGACACCGTGAACCGAGAGGTGGGTACGAACCACTGCCCCCTCAAGAGTATCCTTGACCAAAATAAAATCAGACGATCACCCACCCACATCAGACGGATTAAGTTGTGGTTGAGTTTGCAGCAGTTCCCTCGTCAACTTCTATTTCACCTGACACCCAGAGTATCACCCGCCCTTATCAGACGGATTAAGTTGTGGTCGATTTTGCAGCGCTTCCCTTGGTGTCTCTGATTAATCAACGGCCTCGACTGGCAACAAACCCAACGGAATGGAAGCAATGAATGCTGTCACGGTTCCCTGAGCCATAACATGCGGAGTCTGTTAAAGTTGCAGTTTTTTCTGTAGCTAGACTTGCCAGTGGAACAAGAATCGGACTGATGCTCGCTGGAATAGGAGAAGCCCTGTTTTTTTCAAAAAAAAAGAAAAAGAAAAAGACTTCTATTTCAGGCTTTCAGCTGATACCTCTCTCTGCTGTGTGCTTGCTGTCAGTGTGGTGCTACTGTTTTCATAAACGGCTAAGTGAAGCTTTCACACACATGCAGAATGCAGATATGGGTAAGATGGTGTGAAAGCTTCAGTTAGCCATTTATGAAATCTCACCCACATGAGTGCATGAGTGCATGAGTGCATGCATGAACTTTTCCTTAAAAAAAAAATCTCACCCACATGGTTGGGATGCCTCCTGCACGTGTGCCAAATTGCCAAATTGCCAAATTGCCAAATTGGACCATTTCTCAATTTATGTGTCATGATGTCATCTTTACTCAGGGTCCATGCTTAACCAGTTTTTGAACTTTTAAGTTTTTAACTTTTAACAGCGGATGTTGTCCCATGGGATAAACAAACAGCTTTTAACAAAGTGCATTAACTTCTGAAATTGATCGAAAGCTCTCGTCTGTGCTCACGTGGTCATCACCGATTTGTGTGCGACTCGGCTTGATATTGTGTCCTTGGGGCTGATCGTGGGTTGGCTGGTGTGATTTGTCATGGGCAGTGACCTCTCTGTGCGCCAGATGATGGAAAAAGTGAAGCGTCTGCATCCACATGAAAACCAAGGAAGCGTGTCCAAGGTGATCATGACACCGCCCATTACTTGCGGCCGGGACGAGACACTAAAGAATGTGGTCCACACTTTGGCAGATTACCATATCCATCGGGTGTACGTCACTGAGGAAGACGGTAGTCTCGCAGGTGTCGTCACAATACGTGACATCATTTCGCGATTTGTGACCGAACCAGACAATTACTTTGGCAACTTCTTCACTAGGGTAATTCCGTCCTTCCCGAGTAGTCCCGAAGCACAGCCGGTATGCGATTGACCTGCAAGGTAAGCGGAGTACAGGAAATCTGAGCAGCATTGAGGGGAAGGTCTGTGACGCGGAGTCGGAGTTGCTCCGTATGCGTTGGCAATGTGGGTGCACTGTGATATCTGACTACATTGTTTACGAGGTATCATCTCGACAGGCAACCCGAGTCGGACAGAATGTATGTGGTGTGACTCTTGACCCTCAGCCTGCACGGACACACACACAGCGGCCTTCAGCGCCAACCACGGACAAGAGAGGAGAATGTCTACAAGGTAGAGGCTTCGCAAGTCGGCAAGTACTTTCACGGGCGCACACAGAGGCCTTCTGCACCAACCATGGACAAGAGAAGAGAATGTCTACAAGGTAAGAGACTTCGCACGTCGGCTAGCATGTTTGTGATTTCATGGGTACAGTTACTACAGTCACTAGCATGTTTGTGAGTAGCCTTCAGCACCATCCGTAGACTAGACGAGGAAATGTGTGCAGCGTACAGACTTCTGTGGGGCGGGTACCGGTAGCAATTTCGTCGGTGTACCGTAACTAGAGTTAATACAGTATATTTGTGAGATTGCCAAAGAGCGATGCCCTGCATGGTGTCAGAACGTCGAGTGATCTGGAATCTGGATGTGCTTATCGGGCAGCCAGATGCTGGGAGTGGCTCAGAGAAATGCAGACATCGTAAGAGACATGGCGGCAAGAACGGTCCCGTCTACCTCAACTGATGCTGTGCTACTTATCAGCACCGCAGCCAAGAGGACAGTTAAACCAGCAGTACATCCGAGCCTCTTTTGTATGAGGCGGACTCTGCTTCGCGCCAAGCTTTGCCGGAACGCCAGTGCAGTGTTTTTGTTTTCATTTTCATTGCGGCGCCGCCAGCCATTTTAGTCCAGTTGCCACAAGCCTCAGGATTGTTCGGAGAGAGCCTCTCGTTCTTCTCAAGTTGCCTCAGACCATGTACTGGTGGTTTAAAGAGGGAGAGAGGGCAAGGATGGTGAGAAAGTGAGGATGGGAGAGAAAGTCGATTTAGAGCAGCAGAGGCCAGCCAATCCAGGTTGGCCTTTCCCTTGGTGCTTGGAGGAAAGTGGCGTGGAAGTTTTTGGAAAGCTTGTAAGGGGAACACTCACAAGGACAATGTTGTCTGCGTCTGGAGGCCATATGGTCACCTGTCACAGATGCAGAAAGGACACTGGGTGACCAATGGTGTCTTAGGAACTAAGGTATGCTACTCAGACATGTTAGAGAAGAAAGACTTTCACGTAAATGCTGGGGGGGGGGG